AAACTGCTGGCCAGTGTCTTCCAAATGCCTTCAGTGCAGCTTGGACTTCTTCCTTCAACACTATCAGATCTTGATCATATACTACCTCTTGAAATGGTTGAACATTGACCAGTTATTTTTGGTACCATGACTGTGTGTATTCCTTTTATCTTCTTTTGATGCTTTCTGCATCATTCAGTATTTTGCCCATAGAATCTTTCAATATTCCAAATCAAGGTTTGAATCTTTTTTTCGGTTCTTTCAGTTTGACAAATGCTCAGTGTATTCTTCCCTTTTGGTTTTCTACCTCTAGGTCTTTGCACATTTCATTATAATACTTGACTTTTTCTTATCGAGCTACCCTTTGAAATGTTCTGTTCAATTCTTTTGCTTCATCATTTCTTACAGTCACTTTCTCTGCATTCAAGAACACGTTTAAGAATCTCTTCTGACATCCATTTTTTTTTTGTCTTTTCTTTCTTTCCTGTCTTTTTAACAACCTTTTGCTTTCTTACTGTCTGATGTTCTTTTTTTTTTTTTTAATAAATGTTTTATTGTGTATTGTGTGATATCTTACATGGGGAACATTAATTTTACATTCATTCTATCATACATTTTTTCATTGCCATAGTTACCATCACTTCCATGCATCATCACCCAACCAAAGGGTATACCCTGCAAGCCCTCCCCCACTCTCCCCACAGTCCTCAGCACACAGCCCCTTTCCATCTCTGGATCTCAAGTCCCCAGCCACTCCATCTCTTTACGCCATCCTCTCTGTCTCCATCTCAGGCCTCTCTGCTTCTCTGGGTGAGGTCCCGCTCTCTGCTCTTCTCCATTGATGGTCCCAGGGCCCTCCGCTCCTAGACTGCAAGGTTAATCACTCCCCTCCTTGCTATAAAATATCCACCTTTACATTTCCAGTCCTCACAATGTATGACGTTCTTGATGTCATCCTATAACTCCTCTGTCTTTGGTTATTAGTGTCTAATGCATCAAATTTGTTCTTGAGATCATTTCTAAATTCAAGTGGGACATACTCAAGATCATATTTTTGCCATTGTGGACTTTAAAAATTTTCTTCAGCTTTTGTGTGAGCTTGTACATGACAAATTGATGGTCTGTTACGCAGTCAGTTCCTGGCCTTTTTCTGGCAGATAACATTGAACTTCTCCATTATTTCTTCTCAGAGATGTAGCCAATTTGATTCCTGTGTATTCCATCTGGTGAGGTTCATGTGTATAGTAACTATTTATATTATTGAAAAAACGTATTTGCCATTAGTAAGTCATTGGTCTTGCAAAATCCTACCATGCTAGTCTAGATTAGAAGTTGTTTAATTTCTAGCATCATTTCTGAGATTTTTTCCCCCTGTACCAAAGACATGAATATAAATCAATATGGAACCCAAAAATCAACTACATAGGAAATCAGATAATTAAAACTCTGGTCATTCATGTGGGTTACATCAAGACCACTCCTGTTTACCTTCTGAGTTGTGGTTAAAGTCTGTGACTGTGAACCGAAAGCTAAGCAGTTTTTTTTTTTTTTTAATTTAATGTTTTATTGTGAATTATGTGATAGTTTACATGGGAGAACATTAGCTTTACATTAATCTATCATATATCATTTCATTGCCATGGTTAC